AAGTTCAAATTACCGGAATTTCGGATTCCTGATAAAACGAAAGAATTATTTACAGGGAATGACGAGATATCGAAAAATTTTCGAGATAATATTCGACAATATAATAATGCTTTGTCGTTCGTGTCATTCGGGGCAAATATAAAATTACCTTCCGGATATGGTTCGTATTGTTTCAAAATTCTTGGTGTAGTACATCATAAAATTTCGTCATTATACCCTCAAAATGGAGGATGTACTTCTTATGGACAGTTATACGTTTTAGACTTTTTCGAAGCCAATCAAATTAGACTTGAACATGCTGCGAACAGTTCCTTGAGAAAAGACATTCTAGAAATACTACATATAAGACAATGCATCAGAATATATGTGAAGAAAAGGAGTTATCTTTAAAAGAAAATCGTGTACCTATTAATTTGGTAATGCGTTTTTATCACGAACCCAAATCAGATCCTCGACGGTATAATGATCCTAAATGTTCTGAAGTTGCAACTGTTTTTGAATTAGCCGACGGTGCTCCACCTTCTCATAGACATATTGCTGTTTACGCACATGACGGTGGAATAAAAAATATAGATTTTGACAGTATGCATTGCGATTCGATGTCATATGTCTTAATCTGGCCGTGCGGGGAACCAGGATGGCATATTTCAATGCCAACTGGAGGAGAGCGCAAAACTAAAATTCGCCAAAATATTTCTATGCGAGAATATATATCTTACAGACTTATGGTTCGAGGTTTAACTCCTGTAGGAGACTTCAATCCAATAATTAATGCTGGGAAGTTAACGCAGCAGTTGATTGTTGATTATTACTGTCGCATCGAAGGGGACAGATTGAAATTCATCCGTAACCAACAGATAAAATTGCGAGTAGATACATACGTTGGTCTTGCAGACGCTTTACATGTAAGGGCCGACAACGGAAACTTAAGGGCTGGACGTGTTGTTATTTTACTTTTATCGTTTACTGGCAGTCCTCGAAATATGATGCAAAATTATCAGGATGCAATGGCCATTGTAAGAAAATTTGGTAAGCCAGACATTTTTTTGACGTTTATATGTAATCCTTTATTATTTACTCCAGCCTGTATTTAGCCATGGCCAGTTGTACGTAGCAATGTCTCGAGTGCGATCGTTCGACAATTTGAAAGTACAAATAATTCCAAAAGGGAACAGCACTCTCAATGTAGTATTTAAGGAGGTGCTGTAACATGAAACTTTCGTCACTCACTTGCATTTTCCAATACACCCGCCGTCGGATTTCGACGGGGTTACACTAGTTTGTATTTAAACATCAAATCCACTATCTATGATACACCTGCAATTCATTCTTGCATACCTTTTAATGACCCTGAAGAAGATACAATAAACGTATCGAAACGTCGTTCTCTTTTTAAAAAAGTTGTTTTCCAATAAAAAATAAATTAGATTTCCTCTTCTTGGTTTAAAATATAGAGTGGAATGAAAAAATAATAGCGCTGAAAAATTTTTTTTGTATTTTCTTTAAAACAAGCCCTTAATCCCATAAAAATTGATAAGAAATAAGTAATAATACATTTGGTGTCGTTACTGTGGTATCGTTTCATTATTTTTTTTTTTTTTTTTTTTTTTTTTTTTTTTTTTTTTTTTTTTTTTCGGTTTCCCGATGCCGGTCAGTCCTCCCGTGGCCTCCGACGCCTCACGGGAGTCGCGCCGGCGCATCAACTACAGCCACTCCCCACATCCCGCAGGGTTAGTGACTGTAGATACCAGAATCGTGTGCCCTAAGCAGACGGAGAGAACCCAGAATGACCGCCTTCTGCATTTTACCTGCCAGCCACTCGGCTGGTTTTTGGCAGGCCGGTATGATCTTCAGTTCCGAGAGCAGCGTAGGCTTTATCCCTCCGAGTACACCGATAATAAGGACGACCATTTTGACCGAGTAGCCTGGGTACAGCACTTGGAGCTCGTACCGGAGATCGCGATATTTGGTCCGTTTCTCCTCCTCCTTCAAGGTGATGTTTTTCTCCGCAGGTGCCGAGAACTCGATAACATACATCACCTTGAGTTGATGGTCGAGGAGGACTATGTCAGGCTTGTTGGCTTGGATTAGCCTGACAGTCGGGAACGAGTAGTTCCAGTAAATCCGGCATTTCTCGTTCTCGACAACGGACTCAATATCTCCGGGGACGTAAGGCAGCACTGGTGTCTGGTCTACCCCGTACGAGTGCCTTAGATGGTAGTATAGCACTCGTAAAGCCGCGTTATGTCGGTGGATGTAGGCCGAAATCGCATATATAGGGCATGCAGAAAGTAAGTGCATGAGCGATTCCGGCGCCTGATGGCAGGTCCTGCAGTTGATATCAGGAACCTCTACACGCCACACGCGGCTACGGTAGACCAAGGTGTTGATAACACCATCTTGACAGGCCATAATGAATCCCTCGGTCTCCGACTTAAGCCCTGCTGACCTTAGAAAGGCGAAGGTCAGCCTGGTCGATAAACCCAGTGTTTCTATGTTCTTATAGAAGACGTTTCATTATTATTATTATTATTATTATTATTATTATTATAACTATACATAATAAATCTTGAATAATGTTTGGTTTTGGAGTTCATTGGCAAGGCATTTGGTTACGAAAGATAAAAGAAAAAAGAAGCATCATTTTATAAGAGTGAATTGGAATTATTCTCGATGACATACGGTTATTTAAGAAATACAACCGAAGATGCCAACCAGTAGGCGATCTTCTACATGGAAAGGTAGTTATTAAAAGTTAAGATCGCCCACTGTTTTTAAAGAACTCATTTCATAGTTGCTACTTGTATTACCGAAAGATCTGGTTTTGGTCGGCGTACAATTTATTCAGGATTGCCTACCGTGTTAAACAACAGTGGTGGAACCATTCGAAATTTGTGAGAGAAAAATTATTATTTTTTTGAACATTGACTTTTTATTTTTAATTACATAAAAACGGTGGTCTTACTAAAATTTACAAAATAACATGCTTTACCTATAAAAGAGCAACGCGTGTGAGAAAACAAATTGAATTTCAATTAAAATAAAATTATTTTATTAGTTTCAACAGAATGACGGTTGCGCGTTAGAAATGCCTTGACGGAGTGTAGCAGTAGTTACTTATTCTCGTTAAACTTCAAAGCTTGATGGGAGTATAGATGAGTGGATGCTTCCATAGTCGTATCAGAAAAATAAATTTATGGATTAAATGTTGTTTAGTATTGCTACTACGAGTGTAGTGAGTGGGAAGGCTAGCGCATGGCAAGCAGGCCACAAACCGGCTCATTTTACCGATCCCCTGCCGCCCTTTCAACTATGTACTCTAATTGAAAATAGCGAAAAGTCGAAAAAGGCAGCACACTATTATTATTATACAAAGAAACACATACGTAAAATCACGGATTACGTGATGCTTGTTTATTCTTCCCAGTTCAAATATTAATCTGCGCATAGACTTGTAAAGGTACGTACAACAGAACATATTAACGTAACTCCGTCGCGTAACAATCTTCGGTTGCACGTTGTATGATGATGTTCAAAATGTACAAAACATCGCCGTGTATCATGTGCGCGAAATAATGCCGTCCCATCATTTTATGTAATTTTATGTCATTTCACAGCAATTTCTCCCTAAGCGTCATTTTTCTTTTACTTTATGGATTTATCTGAGATGCATCATATCCCATAATTTTTTTTCTCGGTAAATATCGATGAAATCTAGAGTCACTTCTTCTGTCAAGCCCATACCGATATCTTATTAAGACGGACGAAACGCTTATTTTGTTACTTACTTTTGTAGACATGCAAACTAGTGGTGCAGCGTGAGTGCGTTCATTTCTTTGATGCGACGCCCAAGATCGACAACTGATAAGACGCTGCGATGTTACGGTCTTACGCTGTTACAGTGCGTCGTGCAGATTTGATACTGCGTTCTGTTGTACTATATGCGCCTTTAATTGTTTTGCTGGCATCCTTGAACCGTTAAAAATAATGAAAACATAGCTCTGAAGTTAATGTTGCAGCCAAAATATACACCTATCGAAACAGGGTCGGGCTCTTCAGGCGGAAAACTAGGAAAATTCCCGCTAAGTCCTTGTAAAGTCAACAAACGAGCCTTGTGTCCTCAACCAAAGCAAAAATATGGAACAAAAAATTAGTTTCCTATAATTTTTCGCATTAATTGAAGTCGGATATGAAGTGGGCCTGCCTTACATATTGTTGTAAATGTGTGCAGATAGCATACCTTTTTTGTATGTTTGTCTTTCTAATATCAGTTTATTTTGATGTCTGAAATATGGGACACTTATTTAAACTTCCCCGGTGGGCGCTTATAGTATTAGACCGTCTCTGTGTCAGAAAAGTATTTACTTTTGAGACTACATAAAAAACCAATTCCTGTGATATTCGTTTGACTGTTCTTAGTTTTAATAAAATGTCTGGGCAGTAGTAGAAAATATTTGATCCACACTGCAATGCAAAAGAAACCGGTGTATGTTAGTACGCCTATGTGCAAGGTAGCCTACCGTGTTTAGCTCTCTCGGCTGTATTTCTGATCTGACATATTGTCTGAACATTTTTAACGCTGTCTCTACAAATAAAATACTACAAAATTATTTACTGCCAAGAATAATTACCACTTACTAAACGCAATGTTTTTTTTTTTAAATTTTTTTCTTGCTGATCATCACATGTGTTATTCCATTAATTTTAATTAACTCTTCCTACAATGTTACCAACTTTAAAAAATCTTTTGTATATGTATGTATAAGGTGGCCCATTTAAAACTTTTCACCCCCCCCCCTTTTACCTGTTTTATAAATGTTTGAGAAAAGCGCTGAAATACGTCGATTTTATTTTTGAGGGTGACGTACTAATACAACCACCTATATCCTTGAAGGTACCTCAGTGTACCTTGTGTGGGAGAGGGCTACACATTTAGAGACAATGGATATACACCCAACGACCGAGTATGCTAGGATTAACTTCTGGTTTAGAAAAAATCCTAGCTCCTCGACCATAGATTGAACCCGGGACTCCTGGGTGAGAGACAAGTGCCCTTACCACTCGGCCACGAAGCCACACATATAACTATAATAAATTCAAACCCTACTTTATCCCCTGTGCGGGGGAAGCAATCCCCAAAAAACTTTAAGTATTAATAATAAATACTTTATTTATCTATACACACAATCTGTTACAATATGTATTTGTAAAAGAAAATGTACAAACAAAGAAAGTAAAAAACACAGAAAATATTATTTTATTTGTTTGTTTTCAAAAAAGATCTTCATTAACCAACTTATTTTCTCAGAATCCAAATTTTGAATTTAAAAAGCAATTGCACACCGCGATTAAGAAATATGACATCTAACTTAGTTTTTCTTTAAATAGATAGATAGATAGATAGATAGATAGATAGATAGATCTTTATTTAGCACTGTCTGCTACATAGATACATAGATATTTAATTAAACCTAAATAATCCAACCTAAGTAATATTACTATTTCTAACACAAAAACAAACAAATAAAAAGTAATTGTATCCGAAACTACTACATATGTAATTCATTTGATGACAAAATGTAAGTTGTGGATCTAACATAACTCCTAAATATTTAATTTCCTTCACGCTTTCAATCGGACACTCATTAATTTTAATGACATAACTATTAGCTAAGTATTTATTACTTATAGATTTAAAACCTAGGACCATAAGTTTAGTTTTATCTGAATTCAATTTCAATTTATTACTGCATAGCCAGTTATACAATATATCAAGCTCGCTATTAAGAATGTTAGTAGTATCATTAAAATCTTTACCAGATACAGTAATTACAGTGTCATCAGCAAACAAATTTACAAATGAATTTTTTAATACGCACTGAACATCATTTACATATGTAATAAAGAGAAGTGGTCCTAATACACTACCTTGTGGAACCCCATACGGACTATTTATGTTACTTGAAATTTTATTGCCAATTTTAGTTCTGTGGTACCTATTCTTTAAATAATCCTCCAACCATTTGAGCACTGTACCTTTTACGCCATATCTATCCAACTTTTTTACTAGTAAACCTCTGTTAATTGTTTCAAAGGCCCGCTTTAAGTCCACAAACACACTAAGCACTACTTTTTCCTCATTTATGTCCTTCCTCCATTTCGCGCAAATATATTGTAGAGCAGTTTCACATGAATGATTTTCTCGAAAAACTGATTGATTGGTACTTAATATGTCATTTCTATTCAAATGTTCTCGTAACTGATCACTAACTATTATTTCTAAAATGTTGTCCACAACTGGCAATAAATTTATTGGTCGACACTGTTCAGGTTTTATCGGAGATGGTACCTATGGAATCGGTATTATCTTACTAATTTTTTAACATTGATGGCACACACTCTATTTCTGACTTATTAATAATATTTAAGAGCAGATAACCGATAACACAAAACAATTCTTTAAGTAATTTAATATTAAATCCTTCATCACCGGTACTTTTATTTTTCATATTAACAATTTTCTTTAATTGACTAAAGTTAATTTTATTAAAAGAGTTAAATTTACTTTGTTCAGCATTTATTGCTATCTCTGAATCAATCTGTTTGTCGTCAATACTGTCTGTGATACTTTTTATACTTTCATAATAAAACGTATTGAAATTTTCCACCGCCACGTATGAATATTTATCAAAAACATCTTTTCCGCATCAAACTCTTCATTCTTCGTCTTACCAACTCATTCCTTAATAGTACGCCACATCTTTTTACTATCACCCTTACATTCATCAATATTCTATTCGTAGTATTTTGATTTCTCTTGACGTAATATTTTTGTAACTTCGTTTCTCGCTAACCCATATTCTTCCCAATCGCAGTTTAATCTAGTTAATTTGTAATTCTTGTCTGCTTTATCTCGTTCTTTCTATGCCATTCTTACATTTTTATTCATCCATGGTTTGTTGTTCAGCATCACTTTCTTTTCAGGACATATTTTATTAATAGATGTCATGACATTATCAATAAAGTTTGTATACAGTATGTTTACATCGGTAGAAGTATAGTCCCAGTTTTTCGATATTAACTCGACTATTATTTTCTCAATATTCTGTCTATTGAGGTCCCTCTTGTATATCAATTGTTTTTGTGCCTCCATGTTTTTGATTGTCATTTCTATTCCTAGGGTACAATGGTCTGACAACTTTGAAAAATTTCTTGGCAGCTCTTTCATATTGAAGTCATTGGTGATTCAATTAGGGTAGATGAATTATTTGTAATTCTAGTATCTTCTTCAATTATCTGTTTAAAACCTGAATCCATTATAATAGCTCTTAACCTTTTAGTATTGACTGCGTCACCTTTAAAGTTTATGTTAAAATCGCCCAAAATAATTGTTTTATTTTTGATACTATATCATTTTTAAATATTTCCTCAAAATAATTTAAGAATTCGTTACAATTACTGTTTGGTGAACGATATATACAGATACAAATCATGGACTGTCTACTAAATTGTAACTTTAGCATTACTGATCAGTAATTTTGGTTATTAGCAACAATGTTGAGCGCCTCAGTATTTCCGCCTTGTTTTGTATATACTAGTGTGCCTCCCATATGTCGGCTATTTGAATGAGATGCTACATAGTTATAACCTATAATATCCAGTTCACTTTGTTCTATATCTTGTGTAATATGAGTTTCCGTTAAACATACCATTTGAGGATTTTTCTCATACATCAATTGTCTAAGTTCCTCTATATGAGATGTAAGCCCTTGAATATTTAAGTATAAGCATAAGGCGTTTTGAGAGACCACGGTATCTTGCTTTATTTGCCATATGTATTGTATTCTTGTCCTCGTATTCTCTATAGTTCTTTGGTAGCATGCACATTGTTTATCGAACACAGTGTGATTCTATTGTATATCTTGAATTTTTAAAATATTACATGCATATTTGCAATTACTACATTCAAATGTGTTCGATCGACACTCATCACTTTTATGATTTCCACTACATAACGGATATGTATAACCTTCTTGTTTGCAGTGTTCTGCTTTGTGGCCAAACTTGCAACATTTGAAGCATCTTAAGACACCTACATATTCGTATATCGGATAGCTCTCCCAGTCTACAAATACTCTTTTTTTACTAATAAGTTGTTTAAATGTCTCTGGTGATAACTCCAGTATAACGTTATGTACTCTCTTGTTTCTTGGAATAAATTTTTTAACAAAATTCATATCAAAATTGTTTTGTTCGACCGTATCTACCTCTCTCTAAAAATTATCTCTGCTAACTTTATTTATAAATTCAGTTAACAACATTTTACTATCAAAATCCAAATATCTCAAAAAATTTTTGTGATACATGACACATGATATTTTCGAAATCAGAAAAATGATGAAAATCAAATTACTTTGAAATATACAAAATTTTAAGACTCTCATACAAGGCATTTCCTAAGATCGATAAACAGTTCATGATGTAACTGAAATATGCTATATCAGAGTAAAATGAGTATACGAAATAGGCAACTTCGTAGTGTACGTTTTTAATTTTTTTTATTTAATTGTAATATTCTGGTGTGGGTTGGAACCTCTGATGTGAAGATAACACTAACATCAAAGCACTACTATACCACTAAGTACACGACGCGCGTTTCGCCAACCAAGTTGGCATCATCTGGAGATGGTTAAAACTTTCTAAAATTTTAATCATCTTCAGATGATGCTAACTTGGTTGGCGAACCGCCCGTCGAGTGCAGTATATGGGGTTTTGGTGTTTCGTGGAAAACTACGTCAGTGTTATTATAATATCCATTTAAATGCAGAGTTCAAATATTTCACTAACTCAAATTTAACTAAAAGGGTTGTTAAGCTAAAATGTTAACAGTAAATTGTGATATTCCTGTATTCTTGTGTACATTTACAATTGATTTGACCATATGCCATTACTGATTTTAAATGAAAGGTAATTGATAAAAATTCAGCGTACCTAAAACCTAAAAATAATTTTATTATAGAATGTTTGTATCAAAGCATTTATTTACAATCCATTTATTTGGGATGAATTTCACAAGTGGATGACAAATTACCTCGAGAACTAAAATTGTTTAATTCGCTGGCGTGTATAGTCGAGGTAATTAATGATATTTTGTGGCAATTTTGATGTTCGAGCCCTTAATCCCCATGCTGTCTCGCTTCGTAACTTCGATTAATTCATTTCATAGGGACTTTCGCAAGTGCTCGAATCCAATTAGGTATAAGTCACAATAGATTGTTAGATTCGTTCATCAATAAAATGACTTGCACCTTCAACAACATATTTTCTGCATTTCGCGTTGCGAGAACGTGAGTTGTATTTTTTACTCAAATAGCTTTTCTAGGATAACGTTTTTTACTAAGCGTTGCTTATCAACAGCTCATGAAACGACGTTTTTTTACACCCCAGAGTTATTAGTCCTCTGGGAAAAGATAGATACAGCCAGAGATAGGATAGCGTATACATATTTCACCCAGATAAGATCTTTTATAAATATTTTATATATTATCTTTAATGTAAATAAGAACAAACTAAATTCATACTCATCCAGAAGCAATATCTGCAAAGATTTGGATTATGTTGTTAACCCATATCAACATAATAAATGTTTCAGACAATATACATATTTTTAAATAAACAAAGTTAGTTATTAATTTCTTTATTACAATAAGTCCATGTTGTCACATTGTATCCATGCTGTGGTCCAACACATTTATTTGTTTATTCAGATATTTATTTAATTTGGTTCTTATATTATATAGATAGTTACGTGTAAGAACAAGCGATCGAACGCTGCCACCTCACTTATATTGTTCTTATAAGTCCTTAAGTCCTAAATAAATATGTTTATTATTATTAACCACAGCCACTCCCCACATCCCGCAGGGTTAGTGGCTGTAGATTCCGGAATCGTGTGCCCTATGCAGACGGAGAGAACCCAAAATGACAGCCTTCTGCATTTGGCCTGCCAGCCACTCAGCTGATTTTTGGCAGACCGGTATGGTCCTCAGATCCGAGAGCAGCGTAGGATTTATCC